GGGAAAAAAAAAAAAAAAAAAAAAAAAAAAGTGAAAAACTAGAGAAAACTGTCAATGGAGGAACAGTTAATAAATTATCTATACACTGGAATAAACTTCAAAAAACAAAATGGGAAAATGTTCATGATATCCTGCTATATGAAATAAAACAAATCAAAACAGTATATAAGATAATGTTCACAACTTTGTTTAAAAGTAAAGGAAGAAAAACAACAAAAATCCACAAAAATGTTAAAAATACTTCTCTCCCCTCCTCTATTATTTCCTATTTTCTGAATTTTCCCAAATGTTCTATAAGGTATTTCTTTTACAGTTGTGAGAAGGGGATGAAAACAAATCATTTTATAACTACGCCTTTGAAATCATTTATTTGTAAACAAATAACCACTCATTCTAATAAGACAGTTTAATAGTTTGGGAGATAGTGACTGATCTATGCCCAGTAAAGTAAACTGAATTATTCAATAAGGAATCATCCATACAGTATGTACCACGCATCATTAATTTTTATTCATTTTCTTCAGATATGTAAAAGTAAACTGAACATTTAAAACTGTTTAGGCGTGGACTTCCCTACTTATCACATCAAAAAAGAGAACAATAATAAAATGGCTCATTATTGATAACACTAAGTTTATACTTTAAAAGGTTATTTAAATTCATCTAATAGTGGAATATTTTCTTAACACCTTTTGAAAACTACTTGCATATTTTACCAAGAATGCTGAGAAAAATAATTTTCATTTTAAGGGCCAATATTATAAGAACACATATTGAAATAAACCAAGATATCTAACAGTACTAAAAATAAATTCATTTAAATCTTGTATACCTTTTCTCTAATACGTCTAAGTCCCACTTCAAATGTGCAGCAACTTTAAGAGCAAGAAGCTTTAAAATACGATTTCTCTTGTTATCAGGTGGAGGTTGAACCTGGTTCTGTTCATTAACTGAAGGTTTAGAAGCCTGTTCCAAAAACTGGACTATAAGTTGAACTGGTGCAGGATCTAGGATTTGAAAGAAAATAATTCTTGGAATTAAGTTCTAATTATGAAGATCCAAAGGATTCACTGTATTAGTTTTTGACCACAAAGGAATCCAAACAGGCCAACAGGCACGTGAAAAGATGCTCCATATCGCTATTAGAGAAATGCAAATCAAAACTACAATGAGGTATCACCTCACACCAGTCAGAATGGCCATCACCAAAACGTCTACAAATAATAAATGCTGGAGAGGGTGTGGAAAGAAGGGAACCCTCCTACATGATTGACGGGAATGTAAACTGGTGCAGCCGCTATGGAAAACAGTATGGAGGTTCCTTAAAAAATTAAAAATAAAGTTACTATATGATCCAGCAACCCCACTCCTGGGCATATACCTGGAAAAGATGAAAACTCTAATTTGAAAAGATACATGCACCCATAAGTTCACAGCAGCACTATTCACAATAGCCAAGACATGGAAATAACCCAAGTGTCCACTGACAGATGAATGGATAAAGATGTGGTACATATATACATTGGAATATTACTCAGCCATAAAAAAGAATGAAATTATGCCACTGCAGCAACATGGATGGACCTAGAGATTATCATACTCAGAAAAGTACATCAGACAGAGAAAGACAAATGTCATATGACATCACTTTATGTGGAATCTAAAAATGATACAAATGAACTTATTTACAATACAGAAATAGACTCACAAAGAAAACAAATTTATGGTTACCAAATGGGAAAGGGGGGAGGGATAAATTAGGAATTTGGGATTGACAGATACATGTAAAATAAACAAGGACCTACTGTATAGCACAGGGAACTATATTCAATATCTTATAATAACCTATAATGGAAAAGTATCTGAAAAGGAATATATATATATATCGTAATCACTTTGCTGTACACCTGAAACATTGTACATCAACTATACTTCAATTAAAAAGAAAGTTAAAAAAAAATCCAAACAGTTGTGTAGTTACAATAACTAAGGATTATGATTTATAAGAAGTGTGCCTGGGGATTAAAAGGAAAGATCAGGAAGGGTGTAAGGAAGAAAGGATAACAGATTCCTGCAGAAGAAAGCACTTTACAGGGAAGAACATAATGGTTATAGATTTCCAGTTCAGCAAACAACGAATGTCAATTAGAGGAAAGAGATGTCATCTTTAGAATCACTGTTTTAACGCTTAATTAGTGGGACCTGCATAAAGTTACCTCTGCACCTGTTTGCCATGCAAAATAGAGGATAACGCCACCTACCTCACAGGATTACTATGAAGCCTGATTAAATGAGATAACAGATGTGAAGCATTAAGCACAGTGACTGGCACGCAGAAACTCAACAAACGTTAGTCAAAATCAATTAATTAAAAGAACATAATATAATATAGGTGGTAAAACTGCCCAAGTGAAGTACACTAACTTCTCGCACAGCAGAGTCTCCACCAGGAGACTAAGGCCAGTCTATTAGACTGAACAAGCCACATCTGGATTCGAACTTTATCAGCAAAATATCATCCAAGGAACTTACTTTTTCATGCCAGTACCTCTTTCCAGAAATGCCTGGGGTTTTCCACCTTCCCTGAGAGCACTCATTAACTGGGATATTAATCATGATCATCATTATACAATAACCATCTTGCAAATGTAGTTTTTTTCTGCTTTCAAAGATTTCTTCATTTTGATTTACAGCTTAACTTTGAAATATATAATCATGAGTCGGTAAAGTCTCCTCGTTGAGGAATAAAACAGTTAAATAGGAACCTAAGATAGTTAACTAATTAGTGTCAGGATCAACCCCCGAACCGCTGATTTCTCCCCATCTCCCCAAACTGTGTGGGGTTCTGTCAAGAGAAGGGTTCGAGCCAGCCTCCCCAATCCAAATACTCTCACAAGGCCATCTCGCAGGTGTTAAAACCCCGAACAGTAAAAGGGGGTGGATGCGGAACCTCCTTTGTTTTGCGCCTTTCTTTGGCCTCCCACAGCAGTGCCCCCGCACTGGTGTGTTTAATACTTAGCCGCGGGCCTCGCCAGAGCTCGGCTCCGGTCCCCGCCTCCCGAGCCGCAGGTTCGTGGCCGAGAAGGCGCTGGATAGTGAGAAAAGGGAGGGCAGCGCCGGTGGCCGGGTCCCGCTCCGCTCGAGCTGCAGGCGCCGCGCTTACCCGGGCAGGGCTTGCGCAGATGTTTCTCCAACAACGACTCCTCCAGCAGGAACTCGAACCAGCAGGTCTGCGGCGGGGTGCAGGGCCGGCTGGAGGTGGCCGCCTCCCGGTCCGCCGCCTCCGCGCTCATCCTACCCCCGCCGCCGCCAACCCCCGGGACGTTTCCCGGCTCCAACCTGACACTCGGACGCGGGCCCTGGGCCTGTGATCTGCGGAACCCCCAGGACCTAGGACGCACTCGGAACGTCCCGGAAACCCACACAGCCCAAAATGGCTGCGCGGCTCAGCCAGAGCTGGGGATCCTGGATCCGCCTCCCGGCGCTACCGCTGCGCCTCCAAGCCAATCGTTATTTGAGTTGGAAAAGGAGGGCGGTACCTATCCTCAGACCACGCCTCCTCCCAGTTGCCTTGGGAGACGGCTTGCGGGTAAGCTGGGTCGCAGGTTGGTTTTCCGGGTAAGCTGGGTCGCGGGTTGGTTTCCCCGGTTCCCTGGGAGTTTCTCAGCGAGCAAATGAAACAGCCTCATCAGTAGGCCTCATTGTCTTCGTAAAAGGCAGTGAACACTACAGGTTCAAACTGTGATCTAGGCAAAGTTTGTTTTCGGTGCTTTAAATTTTCCCACTTCATTTCTGAGATTTCCTACTACCTAGGTCCTCTCGGCGGATGTGCCCTCGTGTCTTGGGCGCCAGCGTCCCCGCCCCCTTTCCAAGACAGCTGACGGCCCACGTGAGATCTAGCTTTTCTACTGCTTCTCAGGACTAGCTCTCAGTGTTTAGCGCCTAATTAACTCTCTTGATATCGCGGCTAGCGTTATTAAGCCCATTTTACATTTACCTTCATTCTGTAATGTTCTGGTGGTTTTTTTTTTAACGAAGTTGAAAAAAGTGTATTCATAGATCGTGCACACGATCTATATTGAGTGCAAACTAACGTCTCTGAACCTTTGTAAATCAGTAATTATAATAGTGCCTAATCTTAGGGTTGATAAGAGAATTAAAGGCAGAACTTGATAATACAGGTAAGCTTTTTAAACAAGGCCTGACATCTAGAAACATGGGCAAATGTTAGCAAATATCATATAGTCCTTTCTTCATATACATGATTCTAGTTTTCTCCCATAAACGACCCTGTTACACGTTTTAACCAATGAAAACACTGAAGTTCCAGAGTTATCATTTGCCCAAGGTTTCCCAACAATCGAGGGGTGGAGCCAGAGCTTTGGTGATCTTTCCACTGTACTCAGGCTGCTTCCAACATTCGATAGAGAGGATAAGACTTACGGTCTTTTCCAGAATGAAATGGTAGAGCTTTGAAAAGTTTTAGGAAAAATAAATGGAAGTATTTCCTCCATACGTGAAAGTAAATCAGTGCTTCAGTGGCAACAATTGCCTTGTTCTCTTCCTGTGCAATCCTCTTTCTGGATTCTGCCATGCCTCTCTCCCACTCTTTCATTCTGGTGCTTCCTGGGGTCCTGGTCTTAGTCCTCTTCTCACTGTAAAAACCATCCCTGCATCACTCCCCCCACTCCTGAAACTCTATCCTAGGCTCTAAAGAACACAGGTTGGAAATCATGTATTAGAGTAATAAAATCATGAGGACCTAAATTAATAAAATATCAATAGGAAGACAGTCTCTTCAGCAAGTGGTGTTGGCCAGCTGCATATAAATCAATGAAGTTTGAACACACCCTCACACCATACACAAAAGTAAACTCAAAATTGCATAAGGACTTAAATATGAGACAAGACGCCATAAAACTCCTAGAAGAGAACATAGGCAAAACATTCTCTGACATACATCATACCAATATTTTCTTAGGTCAGTCTCCCAAGGCAATAGAAAGAAAAGCAAAAATAAACAAATGGGACCTAATCAAACTTATAAGCTTTTGCACAGCAAAGGAAACCATAAACAAAATGAAAAGATAACCTACAGACTGGGAGAAAATATTTGCAAATGATGAGACCAACAAAGGCTTTATTTCCAAAATACACAAATAGCTAATACAATTCAACAACAACAAAAAAAACAACCCAATTGAAAAATTGGCAGAAGACCTAAATAGACATTTCTCCAAAGAAGATACACAGATTGCCAACGAACACATGAAAGGATGTTCAACACCCCTAATCAGTAGAGAAATGCAAATCAAAACTACAATGAGGTATCACCTCACACCAGTCAGAATGGCCATCATTAAAAAGCCTACAAATAATAAATGCTGGAGAGGGTGTAAAGAAAAGCGAACCCTCTTACACTCTTAGTAGGAATGTAAATTGGTGCAGCCACTGTGGAAAACAGTATGGATGTTCCTCAAAAAGCTAACAATAGAGTTAAACTATGATCCAGCAATTCCACTCCTGGGCATATACCCAGATAAAACTATAATTTGAAAAGATGCATGCACCCCTGTGTTCACAGCAGCACTATTTACGATAGCCAAGACATGGAAACAACCTAAATGTCCATCAACAGAGGAATGGATAAGGAAGATGTGGTAGGGACTTCCCTGGTGGTGCACTGGTTAAGAATCCGCCTGCTAATACAGGGGACATGGGTTCAAGCCCTGGTCTGGAAAGATCCCACATGCCACAGAGCAACTAAGCCCATGTCCCACAACTACTGAGCCTGCGCTCTACAGCCTGCGAACCACAACTACTGAGCGCATGCGCCACAACTATTCAAGCCCTACATATTTGTATACATACAAATATGTACACATGGACTGAAGTGGCATTGTCAAAGTATAGTCTGCCATCCCCAGAGGACCTCCCAGATCCTTTCAGAGAGTCTTTGAGGTCAGAGTTATTTTCACAATACTAAGATGCAATTTGCCTTTTTTGCTGTGTTAACATTTGTGCTGATGATTCAAAAGCAATGATGGGAAGAACTTGTAGCAACTCAGCATGCATCAGAGCAGTGACATTGTTTTTCACCAACACCACTTACTGGCAGTTTTAAAAAATAACAATTTCACTTATGTCCATGGTGACACAGTAATAAGTATTAATTTTATTAACTCTTGAACCTTGAATACGTCATATCTTTTTAATATTCTCTATATGAAATGAGAAGCACACATAAAGCACCTCTGCTGGATAGCAAAGTACAGTGGTTGTCTCAACTTGAGCTATTTGAGCTATGATCCGAGCTAGCAGCTTTTTCATGAAACACCATTTTTACTTGAAAGAAAAAGGACAGACTAATTATGGTTATTCAGAGTTAGGTATTTGGCAGACATTTTCTCAAAAATGGACGAAGTGAGTCTGTCACTTCATGGAAAACAACTGACAGTATTTGTGGCTAATGATAAATTTTGAGTGTTCAAGTAAAAATTAGAATTCTGGACTGTAAACTTGACAGCTTTCCAATGCTTACAGACTTTTCTAATGAAATAGGTGGTGATACAATTAGGGTTTTTTTGATATTGGAATGTGTCAAATTTTGGGTGGTCGTATAATTCAGAAAACCAATACTTTTGTAATGGGTACAAGATCCATTCTTATTACAAGACAGAGCAATGGATTTTAATAGAACAGATTTTGAAAAGTTAACTGATACAATTGCAGATTCCAAATTGCAGCTAACCTTTAAAAAACCACCACTGGGCTTCCCTGATGGCACAGTGGTTAAGAATCCCCCTGCCAGTGCAGGGGACACGGGTTCGAGCCCTGGTCCGGGAAGATCCCACATACCGTGGAGCAACTAAGCCCATGCACCACAACAACTGAGCCTGCACTCTAGAGACTACGAGCCACAACTACTGAGCCCGTGTGCTGCAACTACTGAAGCCCACACGCCTAGAGCCCATGCTCCGCAACAAGAGAAGCCACTGCAATGAGAAGCCCGCGCACCGCAACGAAAAGTAGTCCCCACTCACCACAACTAGAGAAAGCCTGCGTGTAGCAACTTTATATATATATATATATATATATATATATATATATATATATATAAAACACTACTTTCTCGAGTTTTGGTACAGTTTCAAAGAAGAAAATCCACAATTATCTGAAAAGGCTCATAAAATTCTCCTTTTTCAGCTACATAGCTATATGATCATCTCAATAGATGCACAAAAAGCTTTTGACAAAATTCAACACCCGTTTATGATAAAAACTCTCCAGAAAGTGGGCATAGAGGGAGCCTACCTCAACATAATAAAGGCCATATATGACAAACCCACAGCCAACATCATTCTCAATGGTGAAAAATTGAAAGCATTTCCTCAAGATCAGGAATAAGACAAGGATGTCCACTCTCACCACTCTTTTTTAATTTTTTTATTTTTAAATTTATTTATTTATTTATTTTGGGCTGTGTTGGGTCTTTGTTTCTGTGCGAGGGCTTTCTCTAGTTGTGGCAAGCGGGGGCCACTCTTCATCGCGGTGCACGAGCCTCTTACTATTGGGGCCTCTCTTGTTGCGGAGCACAGGCTCCAGATGTGCAGGCTCAGTAGCTATGGCTCACGGGCCCAGTTGCTCCGCGGCATGTGGGATCTTCCCAGACCAGGGCTCGAACCCGTGTCCCCTGCATTAGCAGGCAGATTCTCAACCACTGCGCCACCAGGGAAGCCCCACTCTCACCACTCTTACTCAACATAGTATTGGAAGTCCTAGCCACGGCAATCAGAGAAGAAAAAGAAATAAAAGAAACACAAATTGGAAAAGAAGAAGTAAAACTGTCACTGTTTGCAGATGACATGATACTATACACGGAAAATCCTAAAGATGCCACCAGAAAACTACTAGAACTAATCAATGAATTTGGTAAGGTTGCAGGATACGAAATTAATGCACAGAAATCTCTTGCGTTCCTATACACTAACAATGAACTATCAGGAAGAGAAATTAAGGAAACAGTCCCATTTACCATTACAGAAAAAAGAATAAAATACCTAGGAATAAACCTACCTAAGGAGACAAAAGACCTGTACTCAGAAAACTATAAAACACTGATGAAAGAAATCAAAGATGACATAAACAGATGGAGAGATACACCATGCTCCTGGATTGGAAGAATCAATATTGTGAAAATGGCTCTACTACCCAAAGCAATCTACAGGTTCAGTGCAACCCCTATCAAATTACCAATGGCATTTTTCACATAGTTAAAACAAAAAATTATACA